CCACACACACACCCCTTCCACCTCAGTCCACTCAATCAGTCAGCTATCTCTAAGTTTGATTTGATAGTTTATATATTATTTTTTAATTACACCTGATTTTGCTGTCATGTTTATTTCATCCGGGAGTTGTCCTACTAGGCCTAATTGTGTCGAAATGAGTACCAAATCACTAGCCTTCAGATCCTGAACGTGTCAGTCAACATTGAAAGAAGATCATATCTATAATAATAACACAATAACTATCATAATGTCTGGGTCACTTCCACAACTGATATGGAGGGGATGATAGACTGGTGAAAGCTACAGGATGTAATGGTCGTTATCACCTCTCTGGTGTATCGAACAGGTCGCTCGTCGAAATGGGATCTGTTCCCGTATCTGACCTCTTCCCTTTATTTATATGTATATCACATATTATGTCTATCTATCTATCTATCTATCTATCTATCTATCTATCTATCTATCTATCTATCTATCCATCTATCTATCTATATATCTATCTATCTATCTATCTATCTATTGTATACTGTATTTAATTATATATTATGTTTTGTATATTATACACATATTGTGCACAATTAAAATGGAAAACTGTCTTAGACTTTGAGGCTTGCTCGTAAGCCGATTCGGTGTAGACTTTGAGATTATTTTTTTTAGGCTAGAAAAGCACATGCATGTAATGGTACGCTGACAAAATAAACCGGCTACTCCAATAATAGCAACAGACAGAGCTGCTGCAGCAACAACAAGACAGCAACAACATCAACAACAACAACTACTACTACAACAACAACAACAGAAGCAGCAACAACAGCTACAGCAACAACAACAACAACAGCAAGACAAGATATCGAACCCAATCTGTCCATTGTGCAGCGAGGAGCCCCAAGATTTGGAACACTGGCTGCAGAGATGCCCCGCCACGGAGGTCAGGCGGTGGCATCTATTTGGGGGAGGATTCAGGGAGGTTGGACTACCCCACCCGCTATCAAAGAGAGGCGGTGGCCCTGGAGAAGAGCACGCTCTTATGGGCTCCGAACAATTCAGAAGGATAGGCTTCCACACACACACAAACAACAACGACGACAACAACAACAACAACAACAACAACAACAACTACTACTACTACAACAACAACACTTCCATTTCTCCCTGGCTTAAACATTAAGATTGTGTTGCGTCTTGCTCCTTGGTGGCTTTTATGTCATGTTTGAGTAAAACAGGTAAATATGTAAACACATTCAGGATCTAAAGGCTAGTAATTTGGTACTCCTTTGGGCACAATTAGGCCTAGTAGGACAACTCCAGGACGAAATAAACATGACAGCCTGATATATAACTGGCATTTGGGAGTGGCCTTTTGGTACCTTACTGAAGAGACAGTTCCTATGTTGGATAACTCATCATCTTCTGCCCCAACACGACTCAAGCTCAATAACCCAGTTGTCTTCCTCTGGTGCGACTGTCTTATTGAACCAAGGGGTTTATGAATATTAGTCAAAGGTCGTTGGATTGTATCCTTTCAAACGGAGAAACGATAACCTGATATAAAAGTACAGGAAGAGTGTTATTTCAATTCAGCTCTCTCTATACGTCGAGCCAGTTCAGTTGTTGCTCGACATAGCTCGTTTGTTTTCAGGCATAAAATATCTACGAAACCTCAGTAAATCTATCTGTAAATCATAAAACTGTATGTGTTTTGCATAAAGCATTCATTTCTCCTCAGTATGCAGTTTATTCTATATAAATAAGTTAAATAGGGGCGGAGTTATCAGTTTGTGGTGCTGAAAAACTAGGCGACAAAATTGGCTGCGTACAAACTTGAATTAGCTTTCCGTATTCTACTTAGAGTAATGATTTTCAGAATGGGAATTTATGTTATTTATACATTTTTATACTTTTTTGTATTCCTCAGATGACTCTACTTTAAGACTTTTCATTCCTTTTCGACAATCATCATACTGACGGAGTGACTATGTGTAACATCGGCGACATGGCATTCGAAGCTCCGACACAGAAATTTGGATATCTGGAAATAAAGCAGTCTTCCAAGGTTAAAGGACGGAAACTAAAGGTATGGATTGTTGCGTTTGAAATGGGTTGGGGTGTTGTTGAAACGAATTATTTCATATTGTTTTGGGCAAAAATTTAGGAGTTTCATACCCACCCCACCCCCCCCCCTCCGGGCGGAAAAACCCCCAAAAATAAATATTGACACTGTGCCCAACTTTTAGGGGGCAGGCTTCATTAAAATGATTTTTTTGATATTGCTTTTGACGAAAATGTAAGTGTCTCTTCCCACCCCCCCCCCCCCCCCCAAATAGCCAACAAAAAGACAGAAAAGAAGATCGACATAGTTCCGATCATTTAGGAGGCAGGCTTCGACCTTGCCTGTTAGGGTCAACCTGGGCTGAGAGGAATATAAATATGGCATCCAAACAGATAGACCGAGACACTCGATAAGAAATTCTTCTCTTTCGATAATCAAACTAGGGTCTTCTAGTATTAGCGAAGCGTCAAACTGCTACACATCTGACACCGGTGTTTTTTTTATGTTTGTTGTTTTTGTCGATTTTGATAATGATAATTGTAACAACAATAATAACACTAACAATGATGATAATAATCATGCTTTTGAAAAAGTAATAATAATAATAATAATAATAATAATAATAATAATAACAATAATAATAATAATAATAATAATAACAATAACAATACTACTACTACTACTACTACTACTACTACTACTACTACTACTACTACTACTACTACTACTACTACTACTACTACTACTACTACTACTACTACTACTACTACTACTAATGATATAGTAATAGTTAATAAACATAGGACACACCCATGCTCTACAGCATACTCTGTGCACTTTACAACCATTCAGCTAGATTTCGTTCGTGGAGTATTTGTGTCAGCCATGCTGTGGAAAATCGTCTGACAATTCAAGGATACATTACGTTGACAGATAAGTTGAGAAATAAGCGTTGTAATTGGTGAAGCCGATAGACCACCAGATTCAAAGATTAAAATTACTATGTAACCTTTTGATAGGTCTGTCATTTCGGAGTGACGAATAGATTAGATGCCAGTTACAAAAGAACTCTTGCTGGTGGGTGGGTTCAGGAGAAAAGGAAGTAGTCTAAGTTTAAGAAACCTAGGTTTGAAATTAACGCTGGCAAAAACATTTTCTGCCTGAACGCAAGAGAGAGAGAGAGAGAGAGAGAGAGAGAGAGAGAGAGAGAGAGAGAGAGAGAGAGAGAGAGAGAGAGAGGGGGGGGAGAGAAAGGGAGAAAGAGACTGACACAGAGACAGACAGAAAGACGAAGGAAAAGATAGATAGACAGATGTATAGATAGATAGATAGATAGATAGATAGATAGATAGAAAGATAGATAGATAGATAGATAGATAGATAGATAGATAGATAGATAGATAGATAGATAGATAAATAGATAGATAAATAGATAGATAAATAGATAGAGAGAGATAGGTAGATAGAGATATAAAGAGATAGAGAGAGATAGGGAGAGAAAGAGAGAGAGAGAGAGAGAGAGAGAGAGAGAGAGAGAGTCCCTCAAGATAAACGCAACACAACACACACAACCAGTTGTAAGAATCATTGCTGATTTTTCTTTCAGTCCTGGCGTCGACGATGGGTGGTACTCACCAAAATGAGCGACCTGTCATCAGAAGAGATCGTAGCGAGAATCGACATCTACGACAATGAGGCTAAATGGCGGCGAGGGGATTCCGACCGCACCACGTTTGTGTTTGAGCACGTGACCCACATCGGAATGGCGACATCGCGCACAAGACCGCACGCTTTCGAGATCGCAGAACGCACGCCAGTCTTGGTGCTAAGCGGTTCGAACGAGCTTGAGTCCTACAGCTGGATTCTCACCCTACAGCAGATTTTTACGCCCGAGCAAATTGAGAGCAAGAAAGGTATTTTTTTTCTTATTTCATGTTATGAAAACACTTCTCATTTTGTTTTGTAAAAGTTGTCACCGAAAGCGGCTCTGGGTCTACCCCTGCCACGTTTGCCTTCAATCTTATTAGTCAGAGCTACATGTTCAAGGTTTTTTTGTCTAAGTGTCCCAGAAACTGCATTATTTGTTTCTTTCTAATTGATTTATCAGTGCGCAGCCCACATGGGTTTGGTCATTTTGTCAAGTGTTACCTCATTTGATTTCTTTTCCTCATAAATATGATGATGATGAAGACGACGACTACTACTACTACTACTACTACTACTACTACTACTACTACTACTACTACTACTACTACTACTACTACTACTACTACTACTACTACTACTACATGATTATTAATATTATTATGATTGTTTCTAGGCGTATACACAGTGGAGATCCAGGTGAACACTCACGCTAGCAAGTGGAGCCTGAGTGGCGAGTACTCACTGCACGTGTCCCCAGCGTGTATCAGTCTCGTGGACAGTCAGGGCTCGTCTGTGGTCAGTTGGGGGCTCAGCACTCTGGTCAGGTTCAACGTGGAGAAACACCCGGAAACTGGAGTTCAAACCCTGTTGGTGATAGAGTGTGGCCCGTGAGTAGAACTGCGTTATTTTGTTGTCTTTGTACGAGATTTGGCAATATGTCTGTATAACTATTTAAAATTAAAGACGCTGAGGACACATGATATTATTAGTATGTTCAGTCGACAGCAGGAGAAGGCAACCTTCCTACAAAAATCAGAAACACAAATTCGTATATTCTACATTACACATTGCCTGTCTTTGTCAGTTCGGGGAGTAGAAAAAGAATTAAAATGTTTATGGGAAGTGATAAAGCGTCACTCGAGGCGTTTGACTGACTGGAAATAGAAATGTTCTTGGCTTCATCGAACTCGGAGGAAATCATTTCTTCGGTTTTCGGAGAAGAACTGAAAACAATGCATGAATGGTTTCTTGAAACAGTGATACTGTGTATTCTTTCCAACAGTCAGTGATTCTTGTCATGACTTTTTTTTTACTTATGAATGTTTAGACTATTGACAAATACGGGTAGAGGAAGAAGAAGAAGAAGAAGAAGAAGATGAAGAAGAAGAAGAAGAAGAAGAAGAAGAAAAAGAAGAAGAAGAAGAAGAAGAAGAAGAAGAAGAAGAAGAAGAAGAAGAAGAAGAAGAAGAAGAAGAAGAAGAAGAAGAAGAAGAAGAAGAAGAAGAAGAAGAAGAAGAAGAAGAAGAAGAAGAAGAAGAAGAAGAAGAAGAAGAAGAGGAAGAGGAAGAGGAAGAGGAAGAGGAGGAGGAGGAAGAGGAAGAGGAAGAGGAAGAGGAAGAGGAGGAAGAGGAAGAGGAAGCTAGCTAGATACATAGATAGATAGATAGATAGATAGATAGATAGATAGATAGATAGATAGATAGATAGATAGATAGATAGATAGATAGATAGATAGATAGATAGATAGATAGATAGATAGATAGATAGATAGATAGGTTGATTGATTTACAAACTCAAGTCAACAGACAAAGACATAATATGTATGTTTATTTACACTCTTTTCCAGGAATTCACCAACCGGCCAAAGTCTTTTCCAGTTTTTTTCGGAGGAGGCCCCGGAGATCCTCAGTGCGATTAGACAGTCTATCTGCCTGGCTCTTGCTCAAAAGCAAAACACACGTCGCAGTATGCCTCCCAGATCTCGTACCATTTCTGCTACCGTCAGCGAGAAAAGTTTCCAAAATCTTCTGGATTCTCATGCCGTTTTTCCTGACTTGACTAGGGAAAGATCCGGCTCCGACAGCTCTAGTTCTACGATGTACCTCGGCTCCCCAGTTGCCCCGAATGACTCAGTTGCCAGTCCTAACAGTCCCCCTGGTTTGGAATCTAACGGTTCTGTTTCTAGTTCTCCCGCTGTCCCATTTCGACCCCCAAGGCTCTCTGACGCTGGTCTAGGAAGAGCCAATTCAGAACTGGAAGCTCTGGATGAGTCAGAAGAGCACATCGGCTTCGCTGACGTTCAGGTGTCTCGAGCTGATAGTGGGGGAAAAGAGCAGCCGAGTATGAGTCACCATCAGAACACCACAGAGCGCGTGAGAAAGAGAAAGGAGGATCATGGTTATAGTGTGATCCGAGACGCCAAGTCTAATGGTCCTCAGAGGCCCGCGAGGCGAATCACCATCGGGAGTGCACCGCAAGAGTTAGCTTCTCACTCGTTTGAGTCTACGACAGAGGAATTTGCAAGTGAAAATCTAACAAGGGCGGAGAAGGACAGCGATGACATTTCGAACGTTGACTCTGCTATATCGTCTATGACATTATCTTCCCCCCTCAGCAGACATGGCTCGATAAGCGAGCTGCATCATTATCAGGAACTGAAACATGTGACCAAACAAGAAGAGACGCCAACGTTTGGAAAACTAAATAAACGTCGCTCGAGCAGTACTTCAGATCTACAATCTCTCTGGAAATTGCAGCGTCCAGACAGCAAGTTCGAAAATGTTTACGAGGAGTTGGACCAATTCAGAAACTCACGTAGCAAGTCTAAGAAGTCAAAGTCTCCGGAAATCCCACCAGCACTTCCGGCTAGGCCTGTCTCCATGAGCTTTTCGACACAGCAGAATGCCCAGCCTGGAAGGAGCGAGAGCAAGAAAAAACGCCCCTTCTTTAAACGTGGCAGGTCGTCAACGCTTTCTGATATGGAGCCACAGCACGCAAAAAAGAAGTGCCGATGCGACGAATCGAAAGACGGCAGGTGTGTTTGTGGGGGAAACGTTTCTCAGCCAGCAACGAACCCGTCAATGGCCTCGAAATCCTCGAGCACAGAAGACGTGGTGGCTAGTGGAAGCTCCAGTTTGTCCGACTTATACATGAGCATTCCAGACATTGCAACGACGACGACGACGACGAAAAGACGCCGATCTTCTGATATCACGCAGAGGAAAAGCTGGGAGTTTGACCTAAATATGGAAGAAGGAGCTCGTAAGTCTAACAGCCTTCCCAGGCATGTGAAGAAACTAGGTAACGATTCTAGTGCGTGTTCAGGAATCCAATCATCCTCCTCTCAAGCGCAACTGATAGATCTTAGTGATCCGAGTGACGATGAGCAGACCTCACGTTCGAGAGCCGTTCCTGCGTCTGTCATCTCCAAATCTTCTGATCCGCTCATGAGCTTTTTCTTTGACGACACCAGTTTTGATTCTAACCCCATGGTCACCGGCGAACTTTCTACCTCGACAACAGCTTCAACGCTCAGCGCCGAACTACTCTCTCTAAGCCCTGTATCGAACACCCAACCGTTGACCTCTACCCATCAAACCACATTGCCTTTGCCCCAGTTGCCTGTGCCCACGGGAGCACCAACGACTAACGTATTCATCCCACCTTCCCACAATTCTCTTTTGATGATCCAGAACACAATGACGTGTGCACCATCGATCATTCATCAAAATGGTCAGATTCCCCAAACTCTCACCTCAACTCTAAACTTTGGACAATTTAATAACACAACTACCCCACATGCGTCTGTTGATCCATTTCGTGGTGGTGTTTTCCAAACATTTACAGTAACGTCTCCAACAAACAATATTCTGACCTCATCAAATGATTCTAAAATTTCTGTGCAAACTGTTAACCATGAAACTGTATACACAGCCATGCTGCCGAAACTTAACCCTCAACATTTATCTCCATGGGCGACGTTCTCCAACGATCCTCCATCGCCCCTCGCCCTAACGGAATCGCCTATGTTGAAGAATGGTAACAGCCAGTTTGGCATTCCCACCCCAAAAATGACAAGATCTCCTTCCGAAGATACTTATGTGTCCCCTACAGACGTGCAAAGTTTTCAAAGTCTCTGCTGAGCTACATGAGTTTTGAATTTAGCACTGGTAAATATTATCAATCGTATCGTTTGTAATGTCAAGGCTGTGATTTGCGCCCCTTTGCAATATACAAGGCTGTTTGTGAAGAGTAACCAACGAAGTGCAATAGTGCATCGCATAGAATGGGGGCGATTAGCCCAAAACATATCTAAACATGTACACGTGAACATGACGATTCAAACTCGAGTGAGCCTCATTCGTGAAATCAAGTTGGTTTTCTTCCAACAAAGCACCGGGAGTGCACATTTTTATCAATGAATTATGAGAACCCAGAACTTGCCTTTATTTCTAATACGGATTGCAGGGCAGTTTAAAAATTTGGGGGAAAGGCACCATTCATTTCATTAGGATTTTTACTGCTTTGGTTTAATCTCCTATCCTGGCTACTCTTATATGTATCATTTTTAATACTTTACACCATAATGTCTTTTGATAACTGATCAACATTTTAATATTAAAATTTAATCAAAACACTTCTTCGCACTTATTGAAGCTGTAAATATTGAAGCTCCATATAATGGGAACTATCTTGTATGTTTGTATATTTTGAAAAAACAACCCCCCCCCCCCCAAAAAAAAAAAAAAAAAAAAAAACAATAACAAAAAACCAACAACCCCAACCCAATATCAAGTTAAAGTTGAACAATTTTTTGTTGTAACCTGATGTCGGTTATGAGAATGTGACAAAATGTAACTAGAACCTTTCACAGAAAATCCACGCTGCCTGTGCCTAGCCAGTCGCCCCCTGTTTCACTCCTACTCACTCTGGTTTGGTTTTAGTTTGCCATCTTGGCCTATACAACGTCACTTCATATTTTTTTCGACGTAGCCGCAGATTCCACTTTTATTTTTATTGTGAAGATCTGTCAAGCGTTGAAAGGCACGACATAATGTCTTTAGACTAAAAGAAAATAAAGATTTAAAATAAACACTTAACGAAACAAACAACTATTGTGCTATCATAAACAAAGCCAAAAGAAAAACCAACATGTATAAATATTATTCCATACCATTATCAATATGAGGTGTCCAGTCACTGATCTGCCCTCAGTTCGGGATTTTTAAAAAATTGAATGTTCATCTAGTGACTATTAAAGTGTATTCGTTTGTGTATATTTGTGTGTGTGTGTGGGGTGTGTGTGTGTGGGGTGTGTGTGTGTGTGTGTGTGTGTGTGTGTGTGTGAGAGAGAGAGAGAGAGAGAGAGAGAGAGAGAGAAGGAGAGAGGGGGAGGGGGAGGGGGAGGGAGAGGGAGAGAGAGAGAGAGAGAGAGAGAGAGAGAGAGAGAGAGAGAGAGAGAGAGAGAGAGAGAGAGAGAAGGGGGGGGGGGTCTGTTTGATTTGACGTAAACGCATGCGAGTGCATGTGCTTATTTACCATGTTGCAGAAAATGTCTCTTTGTGGAGAGCAATGGAATGTTATCTTATCTTATCTGATCTGCCTTAAGATGACAAAAATTGAAACATTGTATAGAAGAATTACGTGAAAGAAAATTTGAAGTGCTTTGTGTAACAAAAATACATAACATATCATTTAAAATATCTCGGACTCGCAACCGTAAGGTCGTGGGTTCGAATCCCGTCAAGGGCCCGACGTTGTGTCCTTGGGAAAGGCACTTTACACGGATTTTCCTCACTCAACCCAGGTGGGAATGGATACCGGCTATAGACAGCGAAAGATCTTGTCAGTTTGTTAGTGTTTGAGCGCTTAATCAGCTGCTTGCACTGTATGCTTCCCGGGAAGCTGAGAATGTTTCTGAGTGTTCTATGGTCTGCTGGGGTAATAATATACTGTAAAGCTCATAGAGCCTTCTGTTGAGCGGGGATATGCGCTATACAAATGCTATCTATTATTATTATTATTATTATTATTATTATTATTATTATTATTATTATTATTATTATTATTATTATGTAAAAAGATGCTTTAGGTCGTCCCAAAAGTGGCATCACAGTCAGAAGCTTTTATCTCAGATAGGAACGGATTCAGACGAATTAAACATTTTGTATGAACAGAATGTCCTGCCCGACGTAAAATGTTTTTTTTTTCTCCTGAAAGCCTGGTATTTTGACATACGACAATTATGAATGACGGCGACAATGTATCGGCACGCTGATCAAAGTTGCCCGAAGGCCACACAAGGAGAGAGGCCCAATGCTGGTCTATGCCATGTATACTGTAGTAACTTGCCGTGGACAGTAAAACAAAATATGTTGATGCTACAGGATCGTAGGAATCCAGTGGCCTGGGAGCTAACTGTTTTCTGAGATGAGATGAGATGAGATGAGATGAATCGTTTCCTTTAATTAAAGAAAATATGATGAGCCAAGAGGAAAATTGCTGCATCGTACATTTGGTAGCATTTATTGTAAACTGTCATTTATACACGTTGCTTCGTGCGCACTGTGCACTCAAAAGATAGTTTTCTTCTCATTATTCCTCTTGAAGTTTCTCGTCGTGTGGCCACAGTTACCTAACAACTATTTGAAGTTACTACCCGAAGGGTTAATAATATGAAAAAATGAACCTCTAATTGAATTGAGAATCGTTTTCTAATTTGCCAGCTGGATTGGGGTTATCTTCATAACATGGGTGAGATAAAACCATGATTTTTAAAAACTTTCAAGATAATGAAATATATATCAAGATGCACTTTGTGTTTAGCTAAGGTCGCTTTGGGAGTCAGCCAACTTTCTTTCCTTGACAGATTCGATCCTGCCTTCTTCTGTTTTCCTTTTGAAAAAAAAAAAAACAACAACAACGTAGGTATTTTTACGTCCCTATCGACAAAACTTAGATAATTCAGGAGGTGTTCTGCACATCCTGCAGGGCCAACCTGGACTGAGACGGATACAACATCCCAGCAGAAAGATCTGGCACTCGATAAAAATCCTCCCCTTAAAGAAATCGAACTCAGGCCTTCATCTTGCGGCATTGAAGCCCCTAACCGCTACATCACAGACGTTTGGGTGGCGTCGGTAGCTGACTCGTAATCGTGAGTATACAGGTTTGGCGGTTCGAGCCTCAGCTCGGTCCGACGTTCTGTCCTTGGGAAAGGCACTCGCACGAATGTTGCAGTTGGCTAGGTCCTTTCGGTGAGGGACGTTAAACTTGGAGGTACCGCTTCTGAAATAACCTAACAGTGCTGATATGGGCGTTAAATCTATGCCATTTCTCCGTTTTTCCCAGACGCTGGTTTTCTATGTTGTGTGTTTGAACGTATTCCTTGTTTTCCATTCACTCGCAAGTGTTTTTGTTCACTTGATGAAGGCTGTGAATGCTGGACAATCAGTCAATCACTAAAGACAGTGAAAATAAAATAGAAGCAATAGAATTTTGGTTTCTTGGGAGACTGCTAAGAGTATCGTGGAAGGAAAAGAAATCATTGAGGTAGTGCTTGATGAAGCCCACGTGGGACGCTTAATGTTCAAAACAATCAGGAAACGACAAATGCAGTTTTTGAGACACCTGAATAGACATAAGGGTCTTGAACATCTAGCTTTCACTGGCAAAATTAAAGGTAAACTAGGCAGGGGTAGCCCCAGAACAATCTACTTGGGGAGCCTAAACAAATGGGTAACAGGAAAAGATCAGGGAAACGTAGCTTTTTTTTAGAGCATCCGAGCAAAGGAATGAATGGAGAACCATGATCGCCGATGTCTGTCGCAGATCTGGCACTTGATGATGATGATGGCACACATATTTATAACTTATGATTATGATTTATGCATTGTTTTTTTAAACTTTTGTAAATATTTTCGAAACGTACAATGTCTTTCATATCTTATTATTGTTGTAAACACAATCGATTTTAAACATTAAAATATGTACGCTCATTATATACAAAAATGTTCACATGAATGAATTCATTTTGTCAATGCATTAATTAAAATGGTCAACGTGGATTCAAAGTTGGATACTTTCTTTGTGGTTTTTCCTACAAGTACTTGTTATACGTTAATGTCTTTGTCGGAGTGGGACTGTTTATCTACTTATGTACTAGTTTCTGTCGTTGTTGCTGATGTTTGTTCGTTTGTTCGTTTGTTTGTTTGTTGTTTTTTTCAATACATTTTTAAAAATCAAGGTGTGCAAAACGGACAACTACGACTGTAGAATCAGGAGAGGCAACGCGTGAACGGATGGATGGATAGATAGATAAGTAGACAGATAGATAGACACGAGACAGATAAGTGGGTACATGAAATTCGATGCGACATAGATTGTCAGGTGGGTGGATGGGTAGATAGATAGATAGATAGATAGATAGATAGATAGATAGATAGATAGATAGATAGATAGATAGATAGATAGATAGATAGATAGATAGTGATTAAGTCACTGTCCGTTCTCTGTAGCGTTTTTTTTTTTAGGTACAAAAATTTCAAACGATTGCAAAACATCGACGAGGACATATATTTCCACAAGGAAGGAAGTTGGAATGTAAAATTTACACAAATTACACATGCACGGTGTCCCTTTCTATAATTTTTTTTCCCACATTTAGATGTGAATCTGGATAATAAGGAGGGCTCTGTTGCGAACGTACTATATTCATTTACTACAAAACAAAAGGAAAAAAAACTGGGGAAAAAACCGTTAACTTTGCATGAATGAACACATTAATTTTATTCTAATGATTATAAAGGTATTTTGTGGGGGAAAATATCCTCACAACAATTTCCAATATGAGATTATGTAGTGAATTGAGTTTTCTGTAAAGGCCCAGATTCGGCGCTTAGTGCATTTTTCTAAAGACGCTCTTTGTATACAGACACAAATGTATTGCAAACATGAAGCACAGTTGCTTCCCCTTAGCCACGTCAGGGTTTTTCACTCTCTCGTTTTACGAGCATAAACATAGGAGGAGCCTGGACATTAAAATTAAATGACAACAGACGGCGATCTAATCCTTATCTCAGACATTCCCTTTAGGTTTGAGATAAGGAATCCTAAGAATTTTTCAAGACTTGTATGCGTTAATCTTTACATAAGCGTCCCACAAAGAAAATTACGCCGTTTTTTACCTCGTACTCTTGGCCAAATGTTTGTGTCATTGAACATTCCAATAACCATAATACAAATTGTGACTCTGGGTCAAATTGACGATCCAAACACATGAAAAGATAAGCAAAAGTGCATCACGAATAATGTGTATGTTCTCTCTATCATTATTTAAAAAAGAGAAATAAATGTAAAACGGTCGATTTTAGTGTAGACAGTGTATTACCACACGTTCTCTATTTTACGCGAGTCTCTTGGTTTCATTGTTGTTTTAAAAAGCGGCTAACATAAACGCTCATTACAGAAACAATTTTTCTAACTAAGAACAACCTCTTCTGATATTCATCCTTCCACCTACTTCTCCTCCTCTCGTTTCTTCTCGGTGTCGCTGTCGTCGTCCCCCTCTTCTCCCTCTTTATTCATATTGTTATTTTAGGTCAGAAAGTATCTAGTGGGTGGTTACTCTGGTGGGGTTTGCTCCTTCTTTCATATCAAACACATGTTGTCCTTATCTCACCTCTATCTATTTTGTGTTTGTTACTCTTTTGTAACATTTCTAATCTTCTGCACTAATATAACTTTATTGTGTCGCAAGGGCCAGAAAACATTTTTTTTTAAAACACCCAAAAAAAACAACAACAGACAAACAAAAAACGAAAGCTCCAATGGCAGAAAAGCGTGACCTTATCTTATTGGGAACTGACAGCTGGGCAGCGTTGTAAGCATTATATTAACGGATCAACATCTGTACAGCAGGGCGGTTGTCTTGTCATATGGAAACTTCTGGCCTTTCAAGATGATTCTTTTCCTGGTGCTTACCTCCTTGGGCGTAGCCTACGGTAAGTTACTCAAAGTGTATTGTTTACTTTCTTTGTATACTTCTATTACTATTACAGTGGGAAGAGGGGGGGGGTTGTCCTAATATTATCACAGTCTCCCTCTCCCTCCTTCCCTCTCCCTCCTTCCCTCTCCCTCTCCCTCACTCCCCCTTACCTACACTTTTATTACTTCCCTCCCTCCTTCCCGCCCCGTATCTCTCTTTCTCTTTCTCTCTCTCTCTCTCTCTCTCTCTCTCTCTCTCTCTCTCTCTCTCTCTCTCTCTCCCTCTCTCCCTCTCTCTCTCTCACACGTACACACACACACACACACACATACACTCTCACACACATACACACACACACACACACATGTTGTCCATTGCAAGGCGTCGAAACAGTTGGCTTTATTTTCTTAGTTCTGGATCTTGCGAATAGTATGTAAATATAGAACATGTGGCTAAATGCGATTAAAACATAATAAGGAAATATAAAACACGTTATTGAGTAGGGCACAAAAATTATTATGTGAAAAAAGTTCTTTAACAAAGTACAGATGACCGATGTTTCCTTTTTGATATTTTTGTCGAAGTTGCTCCCCTTTGTAAGCTCGTGCCACAACAAGTGCACCCCATTTTTGTCACACAATGTCACGATTCGGCTCTAGACATGATTGAACCAACGGTGCTCGCCAACAAATTGTCCAGGTCAAGAAAATTCGTTTCAATACTACTTCGAATCCCCAGCTGCTGAATTTGGCAACTACGAGGGGCATACCAAAAGCTTTTTACCTAACCATGAAGGAATAAAGGTAGAAAGCTGCAATTTGGTATTATACTCAGTCTTTCTTTATGTAGTCGCCTCCCAGAGTTATAGATGTTTGCCATCTGTGTATGACATTAAAAAGACCTTGAGAATAGAGGACCCTCTCTATGTAGAAAACCAGCCCTCTACCGCTTCTTTGACCTCATCATCACACTTTTTAGACCAAAATTTTATCACAGCATAGGATGGGCAATCAGTTCCATATACGGCATGCTTCTCCGTAAAAAATATCCTGTAGTTGCTTGCCTTGCAAGAACAAATATTTCATTTATGACCTGTGCTCAATTTTCTCCATTTTTATGTTGAAACTAGTGAACAACATACCCTCATTCACTTACAGTGCATTGGTGGTAAAACCAGTAATTTCAAATTCCCCAAAATTTACAAGCATTCTAGGAAGATGAGTGCGGCTTTCACACCAAATTTCAGCTTTCTACCTTTATTCCTTCATGGTCAGGTAAAACACGTTTGATATGTCTGTCGTACTTCTGTGACTATTTCGTTTCGGAATTATTATTATCATTATCATTATTATTAT